TGCGTTTTCTGCATTGCATAGCTGCAAAAAAAGCATAAAAAAATAAGGACAGAAAACTCACTTGATATGGAGAAGAGAGATCATCGCCAAGAACCAGCTCTGATAATGTGCTCAGACACTTCATAAAAAGTCGTCTTAAACCGCTTGTCTAAAAAAACGCAAAAATTACGTGAATCGTATGTCCAAAAAACACAAAAATCGCGTAAGCTAAGATCGTTCTTGAGACATAAAAATACTGGCTTGTTCGATAAGAAATTTAGCATCAAAGGTAAAAAGCTTTAAACAAAAACTACTAAAATCACGTGAAAGTGAGACAAAATTGCTGATTTTGAAAAAGTGGGCTAAATTTGCTGATTTTGATGCTAAATCGCTAAAAATTGCCTTTTTCTTCAAAAAAGTAAAACAGTGGAATGCTACAAAACACAAGTGTCAACACATCTTCAATAAAGTACTATGGTTTCGCTCTGCTCTAAGTGCACTTATTAAGGAAGTGTGCACCAAGAAGAGCTGGATAAGCTGTACGGCAAGAATGAGAGACAACAAATGAACAAAACGGACTACTGAATGGTACCAATACAATGTCAAAAGAACACCATTAAAGCCCTTTATGAAGTAAAATACCCGCAAAAACACAAAAAACTATGCAGTGGAAGTCGCTGAAACAGTGGATGGAGGAGAATTTAAGTAAGCTGCCTGAAAACCGACTTTTTTTATTATTCGTTTACTCATCCCGACGAGTTATTTTTTCACTCCCTCGCCCCACAGCTAGTTCTGGAAGCTTTATGCAGCTGTTGTAGCCTTAGCTGGATGAACTGATAAAACAGTTATTTTCGGCGTTCTTGTCTGTGTATTCCTCCAAAAATCCAGAAAAGCAATGAGAGCAAAATGCTTTCCATTGATTACTTCCACAACTATTCAAAAAATTAAAACATAAAAAAATGCAAAAATTATAAAAACTCGAGCTAAAACTGTTCTTGAGATAAAAAAAATATCGGCCTTTTCGATGAAAAGTTTAACAACAGAGGTAAAAAAGTTTAAACAAGAATTACCGAAATCACTGGGCATGGAACTACTAAAAAAAAGGCTTCTTTCGATTTTGAGGTTAAGCTATCGTAGCTGAAATCCGTTTATCGCTCTACTGATAACGGTTCAATAACCTCAAAAATGAGTGAAAAAAGTGCTGGAGGTTAGACAAACAGGACTGAAAATTAACGAAAAAACAGCACTGTACCTCAAAAGTACGTCGTGCACGAAGATGGAAATCGAATGTGATGCCAAGATTGGCAGCACGCCAAGAAGTTCCAAACTCGGTGGCAATTGCTTCAATATATTCACAACCAAGTACTTGCTATAAAATAAAAAGT